AAAACATGATCAGGAGTTAAGATAAATAACACAGAAAACAAACTATACATGGTATATGCAGCAAACACTAAGGAGATCATTCTGAGTGAAACAGAGACTGGAGGCTGGAAAGTAGAATAAAGTAACTTTAGAATAATAGACCAGGATTAATTATAGAGAAACTTGAATTAAGAAATCTGCAAACAATCATTAATTGAAGAAATCAGAGCAAAAGCTGGCATGAAAAAGGAAGCATTTAGAGTAGAGTCATCTCATAGCAGTACATACCACAGATAGCTTTAATGATAAATAGAGTGAAAGCTGGGAAACCTATTAGAAAGTGAACAATATAGGTTTCAATCAGGGCTACATCAGTAGAAAAAGTTAGAAAGGAATAGATTTACTAATTATAGGCAATACAGAGAACCTGACAACGATCTCAAAGATTTTGTATGTACGTATCCCTAACAGATAGAAAGAAGAAAAATACGGGGTTTCTGAGTCAGCCTGTCTGGGTGAAATCTGTGCTGGATGAGTTATTTAACTTCTCTGAGCCTTAGTCTCCTCAGTCATAAAAAGATATTTATTTACCTTTGTCTGGGTGTTGAGAAGATTAAATAAGAAAATGCATATAAAGCCTTCAGAACACAACAGGCACTCAATTAAGCATGATTTTTTACTTTTCTCCTTTGGCTCCTCCCTTTCATTATCCCTTAACAATTCTATTTGAGAATTGAACATTACAGGAGGTAATCTAACAGCTGTCATTTTAGAACTGGTAAAACTGAATTAATGAGAAATTAAGTGACTTATTCAATGACATACAACTAGTTATCTTCACGGCTGGCACTAGTAGATATAGTGACCATAAAACATATAAAAAGTAGTGGAAACTGTGACTATAGAAACTTCTATAAAGACATATCTTTTAATAATATAAGATCTGATTCATAAATTCAAAAATATTTAAATTTGACTGTTTGCCTAACAATATAATAGGGCAATGCATTTTAAAACACATATTTTAATTTTTTTTCATTTCTTTGCACACAAATGAGTAGCATAAAACAATTTTTATTTTTTTTTTTATTTCAGCATATTACGGAGGTATAAATGTTTAGGTTGCATATATTGCCTTTGCCCCACCCAAGTCAAAGCTTCAGGGTGTCCATCCCCCAGATGGTACACACTAAAACACATTTTTTAATATATATACCAAATTCCACGGGAAGCTGAATTTCCAAATGGAGACCTTTCCATTAAAGAAGGAAAATTAAGGGTATACATTTCTTCTTTTAAATTAGATTGAATGCAGGGGAACTTCAGACAGTCAGCAATAAACTTACTCACCTTCCATGGGCATGGAAATCTAGACGTAAAAACTGGTCCTCATGTGAGACTGCTCTTTTGGCACGCTGGTGTTTTTGGTGTAGTGAATCCACATTGTAAGATAATCCTTCATAATGTCTAATGTATTTATTTAAAGGATTCCCATACTGACCTATAAAAAATAGACAACAGTCTGAATTAGTATCATCTTGAAGGTTCTAACATGATTCCGTGATTATTCAAATAACTATGAATATTAATGAAACAACTATCTGTCTAATACCAGTACTAATAATATGAATACCCTCACTAATATTATCTTAATATATATTTTTTAAATCTTATGGTAATGGTAATTTCAATCATATGCAAAAGTTTGGATGTTAGCTGTGGGTTTGTTTTAGATGTCCTTTATCAGGCTTAGGAAATTTCGTTCTATTCATACTTTGCTGATTAAAACTATCAGGAACAGATGCTGATTTGTCACCTCTTCTTACTGTATCTATTAAGATGATCACATAGTTTTTTCTTTTTAGTTTAATAATATGGTGAATTAAACTGATTGACTTTTGAATGTTAGAACAACCTTGCATTCCTGAGATAAACCCCACTTGGTCATACTGTTGGATTCAATTTGCTGTAATTTTGTTTATAATTTTTGTTATGTGTGTTCATGAGAGATACTGGTTTGGAGTTTTCTTTTCTTGTATTACCTTTGTCAAGTTTCGGTGGCAGGGCAAAAAATGTAGAGAAGTACTACCTCTTCTTCAATTTTCTGGATCAATTTATGTAGAATTAGCATTATTCCTCTTTTCAGTGTTTAGTAGAATTCACCAGTGAAGCCATCTTGGCCTGGATTTTTCTTTAGGGAAAGGTTTTTAAATGCAATTTCAATTTCATAAATAGATAAAGAGCTATTCAGGTTTTCTATTTCTTCTTGAGTGAACTGTGCTAGGAATTTGTCCATTTCACCCAAGTTGTTGAATTTCTGGAAATAAAGTTATTCATAATATTCCCTTATGTTTTTTATATTTTTTGAATCTGTAGTGATGTCATCTCTCTCATTCCTGATATAGCTTATCTATATCTTATGTTCCTGATCAGGATAAAGATTTATCAATTTTACTGATCTTCTCAAAGAGCCACTTTTTAATTCCTCTGATTTTTTTCTTCCTTATTTTTCTGTTTCTATTTTGTTGATTTATACGTTGATCTTTATTCTTTCCTTCTGCTTACTTTGGATTTAATTTGCTCTTCTGTTTCCAGTTCCATAAGGTGAGGCCATCAATTTAAGACCCTCCTCCTTCCCTCACGTAGGTGGTTTAATGCTATAAATGTTCCCTGAGAACTGCTTTAGCAGAACTCCACAAATTTTGTTGTGTTTTCATTTTCACTCTGTTCAACATATTAATATTTTCTAATTTCCCATTTGATTTCTTCTTTGATCCATGTGTTATTTAGAAATCTGTTACTAACTGTCCAAATACTGAAATGTTTTCAGTTATATTTCTGTTACTGACTTCTAATTTAATTCTTCTACAGCCAAAGAACATACTCTGTATGACAACAGTACTTTTAAATACATTGAGACATCTTGTATGACCCAGAATATGGTCTATCTTTGCAAATGTTTCAGGTGCGCTTGAAAAGAATGTGTATTCTGTTGTTGTAGGTAAGTATTCTAGAAATGTCAATCTCTACGCCTATTGGTGAGTATTTTATAAATGTCCATCAGGTCAAGTTGGTCAAGAGTGCTGTTCCAGTCTTTTATATCCTTATTTCGTACTTGTTCTGTTACTGAGAGAGGGGTATTGAAACCTAAGATT